CCGTATTTCCGCCACCGATCAGGAACTATCATTTGTGGGGAGCAAAACATGTTAGTTTCGCCTTTTGGTGGAAGCTAAACTTTGAGAACACGATGAAGATACTGTACATTGGACCTACTTATACAATCGTTTTTATTCTTTTCACTCTATCGTGAGTTACAATGTTTTTAGTCGGATATATAATATAATTCAAGTCCATGATTTTGTCTTGACTAAAAAGAAATTGGCCTCCAGAGAAAACAAAATTATGTAATTTTGAAGTTTTACCTTTGAACTATGACTAGTTTGTTTTAAGAATACCGGGGTTAATCATCAAGCCCCCCTCCCATTTCAAAATTCTTGATATGCCGTATTGTTCTACACATATACCTATAGCTAAGGATAAGCTTATGCCTCCTTTGCTACATACTCAACTGACATCAACTAAACTCAACTATTTGTAGTAGTGTACCCATTGTCGTTTGCATTCTCTATGAAATCCTGTCAGTGGTCGACCTTCAGCGCAGGGTGTGTCTGCAATTAAAGAGGTTGCCTACTCTTTTCGGAAGAGTGAAGACATTATCTCGCACTGTACTGCCTACTTCACCAGTTGCATATCAAGGGTGTTGGTTATCATTTGTGTATGCCCTCCTATCCAATTTTATAGTATATTTATTATATATCATATATTTTCTATTTTCTATTTTGTTTCTCCACTTACATGAAATATAAGTGAGTAATTTATTGTTTTGTGCTTATTTTCAGGCGAGATAGTCTGTTTAAACAATCTGAGATGTCTGCATGGCCGTACAAGCTACATGGTCCAGCCAGGTGAAACCAGTTCCAGGCTCGTCAAAGGGTGTTTTTTGAGTTGGCAAGATGTGGAGTCCAGGCAACGTGTTCTCGTTGGTATGCGCGAAAAATACACAAATGGTATAAAAGTTTAATCGACAATGAATTATATATATATATATACTATTTTTTTTACCTCGATGATAAAGGCCACAGGTTCGAGTCCCGCCAGAGGCATTTTATTACACAATTTCTTTATTCATTTATTTACAGGGCTACACTCGTTGAGAGCTATGCTACGTGATGTATTATTGTGTCCTTATTCAAACACTGTATTTACCTTCTTTCATGATATATTATAATAATTTAACAGTGTTAAGGGCTGTCTTGATTTATATTATATGTACCTATATTGTTTCTAGCCTTACCTATTGTGTAATGGAGTGTATCTAGTGGTATTTGAATCTGTTCAACCATGAAACCTTCGTGGTCTAATGGTTATGACGCTCGCCTTGACAGCGAGAGGTCGCAGGTTCGCGTCCCGCCAGAGGCATTTTGTTACACAATTTCTTTATTCATTTATTTACAGGACTACATTCGTTTGAGAGCTATGCTACGCGATGTATTATTGTGTCCTTTATTCAAACACTGTATTTACCTTTCTTTGATGATTTATTATAATAATTTAACAGTGTTAACGCCTATCTCGATTTATACTATATGTACCTATATTGTTTCTAGCCATACCTATTGTGTAATGGAGTGTATCTGGTGGTTTTTGAATCTGTTCAACTATGAAGCCTCCGTGGTCTAAAGGTTATGGCACTCGCCTTGACAGCGAGAGGTCGCAGGTTTGAGTCCCGCCGGAGCATTTTATTACACAATTTCTTTATTCATTTATTTACAGGACTACACTGTACACTATCTGCTATCTCTACTACAATACAAATATATATGTATATATAGACAGTATAAGAGACAGCCTCCCACTAGTCGAACCGACGTCTTTCCAACTGGCTGAATCGACGTTGGCCCGATGTAAAAACGAACGTCTAGGCAACATTAGAAAGGTACGTTGGGCCAACGTGATTGGACGACGTTGCACAAACATTATCGGGCCAACGTAGATCCAACTAGTCGGGCCGACGTCTTTCCAACAAGCTGAATCCACGTTGGGCCGATGGAAAAACGGCCGTCGGGCCAACCTTTGTGTAAGTACGTTGTGCCAACGTAATTATTTGACCTTCAACCAACGTC